AAACAAAAGAAACTTCATTGCTTGTAGTTTTTGAATATGTGTTTAACTAAATTTGACATTGCCAGTGGTAAATCGGTCACACTGGGTGCCACAATCATATCTATCTAGTTATATTGTTAGTGAAATAATCAACAGAATCAATAGACTCTTATAATGGGATGTGAGTGCTATTACAAATACATGAGGCAATTGATGGTCCATGCCTCCCGCTCCGCTGGAAAAATTCCCACCCCGTGATTATAGGATTTATTTCTATCTTTTAACTAAAAAAATTTTGTGAGCTGTTGTGCAAAGATCTTTATAATATGACCTCTGTATAGTCTATTGGGTGCACACCACTCAACGTCTAATCTCCTTCGTTCAGCATGTATTTGACCCTCTTTCCCCTAATTGATTTTTGAGTGTTAAACCAACTCAGCATTCCTGGGATAAGTCCCATTTGGTCATGACACTTTGTCCTTTTAATGAATTGTTGGATTTGATTTGCTAATGTTTTGTTTAGAAATTTTACCTCCAGGCTCACGACATAGTTTTTTTTTCTTATAATATCTTTGTTTTTGGTTTCAGGGTAATACTAGCCTTATAGAATGAATCAGAGTACATTTCTCAAAGTCTTCATTTTTTGAGAGAGTGTGTAGAATTGGTATTATTTCTTCCTAAAATGTTTGGTAGAATTCACCAGTTTAGCCATTTGGGCCTGGAATTTTATTTATGGGGAGGTAGTTAAGTAGGACTTCAGTTTCTTTTATAGCTCTAGGGATGTTTATTTTATCTGTTCTTTCTTAAAAGAGCTTTGGTCATTTCTGTCTTTCAGAAAATTTACCCACTTCATCTGAGTTGTCAAATTTATTTACATCAAGTTTATAATGCTACTCTGTTATTCTTTTAATATTTGTAAAATCTATAATGTCACCCTACTCATTTCTGATATTTCTCTCTTTTTTCCTCTTTTTCCTTATCAGCCTAGACAGAGGTTTATTACTTTTACTGATCTCAAAGCATTTGTTTTCATTGATTTCTATTTTTTTTTAATTTTCATCTTATTGATTTCATCTTTAATATTTATTATTTTTTTCTTTTGTTTGCTTTGGATATAATTTGCTCTTTTTTTCTTGCTTCTTAAGGTGGAAGCCAAGGTCATTGACTTGAGACTCTTCTTTTTTTCTAGTATAGACATTCAGTGCTCTAAATTTTCATGTAAGTAGTACAGCAGCAGCAGCCTTCAAACATAATATGTTTTGTTTTCATTTCCATTCAGTTCAAAATACTTTCTAATTGCTCTTTTAGTTACTTTTTTGACTCAGTGTTGCTTAGACGTGTGTTAGTTTCCATATACTTGAGTGTTTTCCAGAGATATTTTTGTTGCTGATTTCCAGTTAGATTGCCAGGGAACATACTTGGTATGACTTAAATCTTTTGACTTAGCCCCTTCGTTAAGTTTTATTTTATGACCCAGAATATAGTCTTTTTTTGGTATCTGTCCCATGGGTACTTGAGAAGAATGGTGGTATTCAATTCTACTATCTACTTCGTGATTTCCTTCCTGCTTGTTGTATTACTTTTTAAATGAATTGTATTGAAATCACAGACTGCAATTGTGAGTTTGTCTATTTCTCTTTGCATTTCTCTCAATTTTTGCATCATGTATTTTGAAGCTGTGATTAGGGGCATAAGTTTTTAGGATTGATAATGTTGCTTATTACTTTATCATTATGAAATCTTGTTAATTTCTGGTAATTTTTTTTGTTCTGAAATCTACTTTGTTTAATATTAATAAAGCCACTTTAGCTCAACTTTCTTCTGTCAGGCATTAGGGTAGTATATCTTATATCTAATCTTTAAAAAAAAATTGTGTCTTTACATTTAAAGTGCATTTTTTTTTCTGGCGGTATATTGTTGCGTCTTGCTTTTTCATCCAGTCAGACAATCTGTCTTTTAATTGATGTTTTTAGGCCATTTTCATTTAATGTGATCATTAATCTAGTAGGTTTCAATCTGTCACAGTTTAGTTTGATTTCTGTTTGTCCCATATGCTATTCCTGTTTTTGACTTTTTCTGTCTCCTTTAGATTAATTGAGTAATTTTTATGACTTTTTTTTTTGGCTTATTAGCTATTACTCTTCCTATTTTATTGGTTGCTTTAGGGTTTGTTTATGCTAAATAATTTTGAGTTTTCACAGTCCATCTTCAAGTAACATTATATGAAATCATATATAAGAAAATTATAATAGTTTACTTCCATTTCTGGATCTATAGGATTATAGTTTTCATGAGGTTTAGAAAATTTTGGCCATTTTTTCTTCAAATATTTTTTCTACACTTCCCTCCTGCCTTTTGGGGGATTATATATTGGCCTTTTGAAGTTTTCACACAATTTACTGATGTCAAAAATTTTAAGCTTTTATTTTGTGATGTCTAATATTTGTTTGTTCCTGTCCAGTGTATTTTTTTATCTCTGACATAATTTGCATCTTTAAAAGTGTTATATGGTTTTTAAAAAATAGCTTCCATCTTACTTATTTTTCTTAGCATGATAATCTCAAGATCCATCCATGTTGTCACAAATGGCAGTATTTTATTTTTTCTTATGGCTGGGTATATTCTATTGTATAAAAGTTGAGAACCATATGATTTCACTCATACCTGGCATATAACATTGAAAGCAACAAACAAACAAGACAACAAAGAAACAAAGACTCATAGACACAAACAAAGTGTTGTGGTTACCAGAGGGAAAGGCAGGTGTGGGGGGCGGTAGATAAGAATAAAGGTGGGCAAATATATGGTGACAAAAGATTTGACTTTGTGTGGTCGACACACAATGCAATATACAGATGATGTGTTTTTGAGTTGTATGCACATTTGAAACCTATATAATTTTATTAACCAATGTCATCCCCACAAATTTAATTTAAAAAATTGCTTTCATCCTCTACTTATCTTTTTGAGCTTTGTTTTGGGATATAGTTAAATTACTTATAAGTAGTTTGATCCATTCCAGTCTTGCTTTTATGATTTGTCAGGTGAATCCAGAGCAGTGCTTGGCTGAGAGCTAATTCCTCCCCACTGCTGAAGCAAGACCTTTCTGACTCCTCTGTTCACGGTCCTGAGAGTTATGAGTTTCTGGCTCCTGGGAATAGACACTATTCCTGGTGCTGTGTGAGCACCAGGCACTGTTTCCTCTGCTGTTTTCAAATGTTTTCTTTTTCCCCCTGGTCTCAGGTAGGTCCTTACATGTACACGCTGTTCCTACTCAGCCGAATCCCCTCTGTAGATCTCCAGGATTCTTTTTCTGTTCTCCTCTCTCCTCTCCAGTGTTCTGACCTGTGATCTCTACCTGCCTTGGTTTCACCTGCCCCTCAGGTTCATCACTAAGTCAGAGAGTCTGGTGGGCCCAGTTCCTTCCCCTGGTGTGGTGGCCTGGCATCTCTTTCAAGGTAGTGACCTGGGACGTTCCTTAGGCTAACGTCATTTGTTTTGGGAATCATTGTCCTTCATTGCCTGAAGTTTGTTGTCTTGAAAAGAATTTTCTAATGTATTTCATCTGATCTGTGTTTGCTTGTTTCATGTAGGAAGGTAAATCAGTACTTCTTACGCCTTCTTGCTAGAAGCAGATTGCAGTGGATCTTTGACACGTGCTGTGGACAGACTAGAATGCTCTTCTTCCTCCTTTGTCTGATTGCTTTCTGCTCATCCTGCGTTTCTCAGTGTGGCCAACTCTTCCTCAGCGTTTTCTTGCCTGGGCCCCATCTAGATCAAGTTCTGTTGTGTGATCATGAATTCTATTTTCTTATAGTATCTATCTGAATTTGTAATTATCATTTTATTTGTCATTCTCCTCTACTAGATTTTAAACTAAACAAGAGCCAGGAGTTGTATTTGTTTTATCTGCAGAACTTAGTGTAATGTCTTCCACATTTTATGTACTCAGTGTATATTTGTTCAACATATGAATGAGTATGGAAATTCATACACGAGAAAGACTCAAACATTTTATTTCTATTTTTGTTTTCTCTCTGATGCAGATTCTGTTAGCTTATTGAAAATCCAGGATGCAGTTATGTCATATGAAAGATTACTAGAACTTAAAAAAAATCACTGTGAACTACTTACAGGAAAAATTAAAAAAATTGAAAATAAGGTGATTGGACTACAAAAGGAGCTATCAGAAACAAAAGAAATGAAATCACAGTTAGAACATCAAAAAGTGGAATGGGAACAAGAACTCTGCAATTTGAGGTATTGAACATCTTAGTTTCAAAGAAATATTTGAACATTTACTTTTATACTGCAGATATGTAGGAGAAGTTCTGTAAATGCCAACTTATCTTCCGGAGTTTTATATGAGAGAAAATGTCTTTAGTATTGTGGACTGTAAGATTCTTGAAAATAACATAGCAAGTTTTTAACATTGTATATTTCTGGTAATGAGTTAATGAATATTCTTTCAAATCACTATTTAAATGACCATATAGAAGTCTACTATATGGAAGCCTCATTATTTATTTAACAAACTGAATTTTGGTTTTTCATTTTTCTGTATTATAATTAATGCTGCAAGGAATGTCTCCTCTATAAATGTTTCTACATTTCTGATTATGTACTTTGAATAAATTCTTTAATAAAGTATTATTTGGTTAAAGTATAAGAACTTTTAAGAGTTTCTTTGATCCATATTTCTAAATTGTTCTCAAGAGTTCATATGGACTTCTTTTCCTACCGACAGAGTCTGAAATGGCCATTTTTCTCAAGACAGAAAAAAATTTTTAAAAAATTGATGCAGTTTTTGTCTCAATATATGCATAGAATGAAAAGTAAAATGGGAAGAGTTGACTGATTAGCTTATTTAGCATCTTTGGTGCACATTGATTAAATTAATTTAAAGGTATATACTAAAAGCATACATTATTCTTTATTGTTGACTTAATTAATGTGGGTGTTGTCTTGTTCCAAAAGAGATTTTTGATTTATAAAATAGATAATAATCAACAAGAGGAGTTGAAAGTATTGCAAAAGAAGAAACATAAAAAGTGTAGAGCTTCAGATATTATACTCCTTAGCCGATTCTTGGATTACAATGGTCAGCGGAGATGTTTTGTGAGGTTTAAATTTTATTTCTTGTAAATATATAAACTTACTTATAAACAACAACTTCTCTTTTTAATAAGTAACTGAATTATCTGTCCCAATGGAGGAGTAAATATGACTGTGGATAAAAGGATAATTTTCAGCTCTACCAAATAATTTCAAAATTCCTTTCCTACAATATTTACCATAATTACTGTGGACTGAAACTTACTAACAGAATGTTTTTTTCATTTGCTACCTTTCAAGTATATATATATCTTTTGAGAGAGATTGAAGTAAGAAATAAAAACATGAGACCCAGAGAGGAAAATAATTTGAGAACATAGAAATTTTATTAGGATAATAAACCAATATATGTAGAACCAGATTATGAAAATGAACTTTTTATTTTCTAACTAAATGAATTTTAAGATAAGTGTATTCAACTGCAGATTTACCTTACAACAAGAAAAAGAGAGGAGAGAAAATACTGATATGTTATATAAAAAAATTAGGGAGCAGTTAAGAAAGAAAGAAGAGCAATATCATAAAGAAGTTGAAATGAAACAACAACTTGAAATCACCCTTAGAACATTAGACATGGAATTGAAAACTGTAAGAAATAATTTCAATCAGGTAAATTCATCTTTGGTAAAAATTTTATATTTCTAACAATGTTTCATCAAAATTTATAATATCTCTGATTATTTAGGTTTGAAACAACCCCAAAATGTTATATTGTTCAAAATCTGAACTGTTACAGTTATAACTAAAATTATTAATTTATTGCAATTCTTGCCATTTAATAGATACTCTCTATATATTTTTAAAATGAAGAAATAAAAGATCAAGCGAGCTTAATTATTAACAGAAATGTTAATTTTGGCTATTTTTTAATGTTAACATATAGACTAAATTGCCTTGAGACTGATGGAACTAGTGAAATGTTTTGTAAAGAAATTTTATTTGACAATACTACAGCTGCCTGTATTTTTGCTGTTTGACAAATCTAGCTGTCATTTAAATTCAAATTTGAGTTTTCCATGGAGGATAAAGATCTTTGTGCTAGAAAAGCTACTTCCTTTTAACATGTTTTTAAAGGTTCTGCTCTTAAGCTTTTGACCTGTTTTTAATGGTATGAGAACAAAAACCTAATGAAATGTGTCTCTAGGTTGTAGAAGAGCTAAATGACACCCAGAGGCAACTTTCTCATGAACAGAACGCCAGATTATCACAAGATGCAATCCTGACCAATCACCTTTGCAAACAAAAGGAGATAGAAATAAATCTTAAGAAAATGAATTCTGAGGTATTTTGTTTAGTCATTTACAAATGTGTGTGTTTCAGATTTGTGTATGTATATATTTATAAACCACTGTACATGTGAAATGTGTAGAGGATTTAAAAAGTGTGTTTGCGTGCGTGTGCATGCATGCATGCGTTTATTTATTTTAAGGGTTTATATATTTAAGGAGTGGTCTATTGGATAAAATAATATTCTTAATTCAAATCCATTTGTCTCCTCCGTTTGAAGTGACATTCACACTGGCCTCTTCCAAAGGAGAAGCTTTTAGTATTTTCCATAGGAATTGATGAGGTTTTTATAATCTCAAAACTATTGCTACTAACAACAGATGTTCCAGGTTTAGGCAGTGATTTCATCCTCTTGCTTTGCTATATTAACAGAGAAGTTAGTTTTCACTTCCACTGATGGTAAGGAGGAGAAGTGTAGGCAGTTCCGAGACCATATTTTAGATGTCATCTCCTACTTTTGAGAAAAGTAAATATTTGCTCTAAGTAGTATCTTATTTCAGTAGAAGGAGCTTTTGAAGATGATGATATGCCATAATATATACTTAGTGATAATTCATTGATGAGTATTTTATTTGTAGTACAGAGGTTCAGAGTATTATCTATTACATATTTATTACTACTTTAAACATTATTAAGAGGAAATGAAGTTTTTGCAGCAGCAAATAATCTCATGGTTTTCTAAGAAGAGCTCTATAAATTTTACCTTATTTGCCATGACTTTTTGAAATACAGTGCTATATATATATATATATATAGTAGCTGTGGTTTGTGGTTTGTAGAGTCAGAAGACCTGGGGAAAATCCCAAACTGGCTCATCTTTTTTAACCTCTCCATTCCAGATTGTGATAACTAAATGAGTTCACTGATATATGTATATAAAATTGCTTGGTGCATTGTCAAGATTTATCAGTTGTTAGTAGATGTAATTTTTATAAATGAATATGAAAATATTAGAAAAGTAGAATACCTATAAAATATTCTTGGGAAAATAATTTTAGGAAATTTTATCTGTCTAAATATATGCAGTTAATACTCTTAGTGTGGGGTAGCTGTATATTCAGACTGTGAACTCCATTTTTAAGTATAGTCAGATTTATTCATCTTTTATTTTATGACTTCTGGGTTTGTTATCATTCTGAATCTGAGACTCTTAAAAATTCTCTTATGATTTCTCTTTTACTTTCATGGATTCAGCATCTTATATTAAATTTTGGAACTGTTGGGAATTTATGCTTAAAGTTGGAAGTTTGAGTACAAATTTATTGTTTTCTATGAAATGTCGACTTATTGCAAACTTTTCATGATGTAAACATATAGGTTCTTCTTCAGTTTCAGAGGATATCATAATATCTTTTGTTTTTCTTAGGTTTCTGATAGTCATGAAAAAGAGAAAGATCTGTTGCATGAAAACCACATGTTGCAGGATGAAATCGCCATGCTAAGACTGGAAATAGACACAGTAAAAAATCAGAAGCAGGAAATGGAAAAGAAATATTTGGAGGATATTGCAATCGTAAAAGAAAAGAATGACCAACTTCAAAAGACTGTAAAACTGAATGAGGAAACACTAACAAAAACAATATTTCAGTATACTGGACAGCTTAATGTTCTGACAGCTGAGAATACAATGCTAAACTCTAAACTGGAGAATGAAAAACAGAACAAAGACAGACTGGAAACAGAAGTTGAATCCTACCGTTCTAGACTGGCTACTGCTGTACATGATCATGAGCAAGGTCAGACATCAAAAAGAGATCTAGAACTTGCTTTCCAGAGAGCAAGAGATGAATGGTTTCGTTTACGGGACAAAATGGATTTTGATATGTCTCACCTGAAAGATAATAATGAAATTCTTTCTCAACAACTGTCTAAAGCCGAAAGTAAATTGAACAGCTTAGAAATTGAGCTCCATCACACGAGAGATGCTCTCAGAGAAAGGACTTTGGTTTTAGAACGTGTCCAAACAGACCTAAGCCAAACACAGTGTCAAAAGAAGGAAATAGAACATATGTATCAAAATGAACAAGGTAAGGTGAATAAATACATTGGAAAGCAGGAATCCTTAGAGGAGAGGTTTTCTCATCTACAAAGTGAAAATGTGTTGCTTCGACAGCAGCTAGATGATGCTCGCAACAAAACTGACAGTAACGAAAAGACAGTAATTCATATCCAAGATCAGTTTCAGGATATCGTAAAAAAACTTCAAGCTGAAAGTGAAAAACAAGGCCGTATGCTGGAAGAAAGAAATAAGGAATTAATCAATGAATGTAATCATTTAAAAGAAAGACTGTATCAGTATGAAAATGATAAAGCCGAAAGAGAAGTAAGTATCCAAAAAGATAAATATTTTTCAAATTTTCTAAAATAAAATTCAAAGTAATATTTGATTATGGCTAAATGTTAAATCTAGATGAATATTAAAATTATACAACCTAACAATATATTTGCTTTATCAGTTTAAAAGCATACATTGTATTTAGCAAATAATTAACCTGAGAGGTGCTTTACTTTTGAGTAAAAGACGTTGTGTTGTCTATGAAATTTTGTTATAAATTGTTAATATAGATTGATATTAATAATTTAGTCTTATATTACTAAAATAATTTTAATTTGTCATCACATTTCAAGACCATTATGAAGCAAATAAATAGAAATGTTTATATCTGAAATGAGTGTTTTGAAATTAAGATTCAAGTAAGTGGCTTACCTTGACAGTTAATTATAGATTTCCCAGATGATCTGAGGTATAGCTGCTGTATCTCATAGTACTTTTTGTTCAGTAGCTCCTTATACATAGTTAGTATAATTTCATTTTTATTCATGTCAATTTGAAGTAAATTTGGAAATATTTCAGTCTCAAATAATGTATTCTTAGGACCTCCTCACTCTTTAAAGACAGCTACTTTTCATGTAATCATAATTTGAAACAAACATGAAGAGTTTTAGCAAAATTATACTTGATTTAATCTTCCCACTGCTGTTTGTAAATTCCTTTGGATATTTTTACAAATAATTTGCTTATAGTTCTCATGTTTAGGTCCAATTGCTATCATTTGGACATAAGTTTTTCTAATAAAAAGAGAATTGTAGACTCTGTGATTCATTAATTTGGCATGAGATTTCTGTTTTCAGATGAGTGAGGGTGGCAGTACTCATGTGTGGCATACCTTGTATGCTGAAGGCCATTGGAATGACTTCACTTTTATTCTAAGATGTAGGAACCTTTTGAAAGGGTTTGAGTGGGGGTTTTAATATGTGAGGACCTCTGAAGTTAATTTAAGTCTCTCATAAAAAAAAAAAGAGGGAAGATGTTCTACAATGTAGAATTTATTACCACTCATCCCCCTGACATACCCACTTCTTTTTCAGACTTCAGTAAATTGTAAATCTTTGCAAATTCATCAAGGGGAAATGGATAGTGGAGCTCAATTCTTTGTTCAAGTAACCTAATATTGATTAGGTAGGAGGATAACACTTTCTGTGTCTTTAACTAAAATAAGTAAACAGCAATGTGTCAAATGAGAGGAAAAGAAGGTGAATTGATGTATGTGGTGATTTTTTTCAAGTTACATATTAGTTATTTATCATTAACATAACTTAATAATAATATGATATATTAAATCAGTAATGGAAATATCTTCCTAGGTGGTTGTGAGGCAACTTCAACAAGAACTGGCTGACACCCTAAAAAAACAATCTATGTCAGAGGCTTCACTTGAGGTTACAGCACGTTATCGTATGAATTTAGAAGATGAGACACAGGACTTAAAGAAGAAATTAAACCAAGTTAGAAATCAAGTATGTATAAAATGTAACAAGTTAACAGTTAATCTGTAGCTGATTAAATTAAGTGGGATACTAGTTTTTATGGGCAGCTTTCTTTTTACTTTCATTAAATGAATTTATTATAATTTTATTATCTTTATCATGCACTTATCTCCTAAACTCTGGCTTTCCTTCTGCCACTTGTATTATATGTCTGTTCTTATAATATTGACCCTTGGGAAAGTTGAGAATTATACACCATTCCTTATAGAAGTCCAGAGACTTTTTTTTCTATTTAACAGTATATTTTAGTGATATCTCCACTACCATGATGAGGTAGATAAAATAAGAGGATAATGTTTAATGGAGCAATACAGAAAATTATCTTATTTCTTATTTTCACTTTGTAAATGGATATAGAATCTATACATATTTCCTGGATTTCAGGCAACTTGTACAGAAAGGTCATTATACAAACCAGCTGAAGTAGGCATTTCCCTCATTTTCTTTTCATTTTGGAAATATTATAAAAGCATGGGTATATTCAGATCATTATAGTATGTACACCCACAATAGAGAATTAAAAAATTGTATAGATCCACGATTGGATTTAAAAAGACAAATTTATTGGGACATAATTCACCTATCATATAATTCATCCATTTAAAATGTTCAATTCAGTATCTCTTAACATATTCAGAGAGTTGTGCAGCTATCACTGCAATCAATTAGAGAAACTTTTCAGTACCCTAGAAAGAAACCCCACATGTCTTAGCTGTTACTCCCAGCTTCTCACCTCCCCCGACCCCAGGCGACCACCAATCTCCTTTCTGTCTCTTATAGATTTGCCTATTCAGGATATTTCATATAAATGTAATCACACACTATGCAGTTTTTTGTGACTAGCTAATTTCATTTAACATCACATTTGCAAGGTTCAGCATTGTAATAGCACATTTCAATATTTTCTTCCTTTTTTTTTTGCCAAACAACAACACTTCATCGTGTAGTTAATCCACTTATTTGTACATCAATTGATGGAAATTTGTGTTGTTTCCACTTTTTGGCTATTAACATTTCTGTGAACATTAGTTTAGGAATTGCTGTTTAAATATATGTTTTCAACTCTCTGCCATAGGATTTTGTCCTCTGAGTGACTTAGGCTGGTTTCACCATCTCTCAGCCTTTACTCATGCCATCCTTTCTGTCTTTCAGTTTCTATTTCTCTTGCCTAATCCTACATCAATTCAGACCCGGATCCCAATCTCTCCTTCTCCACGAAGCTTTCTCTGACTGTTCTAACTCTGATTGAGATCATTCTCTTCATCTAGCCTGTGCAGAACAATTTAGCCCTTACTTTTACTTTGTTATAATTTTTTTTTCATATAAAGTAATCATGTCTTTCTAAGTTTAAATTTATCTAAGGGGAAACACCATTTGATATGTTGTTACCTGTCCTTCTGTCAATTGAAAATATTTTATCTGAACATTTGTTAGGATAAAATTCTATATTTTATACCACACAAATACTTTCTACTTGGAGACACTCACATAACGAAGCTTTTATTCTAAATGTATTTTAATTTGAAATAGAAAATTATTTAATTGTTTAAACCACAATTTGTTTATACTTTAAGGAGAATTTCTTTCTTTCTCTCTTTCGGTTACCAAAGAAACCCAAAAGGTTGGGTGAGGCAAGCAATATTATCATCCTCGTTTTTAGCTTTTGGAACAGAATGTTAGAAAATTTAAGCCATTTTCCCAACTTGATTACATCTCTTTTGATAGCAGTAGGGATTCCAATTCTGCACATATCCATCTCCTGGGCACCGATGGGATGTCTTATTGTGCCCCTCTAGAAGGTCACATTCATTGACCTGATTTCTAGAATTTTCCTCATGGCATGGACTTGCAGTCTGTCTTGACTTGGTCTATGCTTATCATTGGGAAAACATTTCCATGATTGCAAATCTCAATCCCAATCAAAATCACATAAGTACCCAGCTGCTGGCAAATGGAATCCACTACGTTGGCAACGAGACATGCATCCTCCGCACCCTTGAGAATTTACTTTGGGAGTAAAGGAAGAGAGGCAAGGCTCACCCTGAGTCCTCATAGGTCTCCTGCCCTTTCTACGAGTCATATCTGTGCTCAAGAAACACAAAGAGGACTAACGCAGAGGGAAAGTGGAGCTTTATTTGCTGCTTACAACAATGGACAGTAGTTAATAAGATGTTAGGAACTACCTTTGCCTGACGGCAATGTTTCCGACACTGACAAAAGGGAAGGTTCCTTCATTTTTCCGTAAGCTGTCAGAAATGTGCTCAGTTTCAGGCACGCAATATTTCTACCTCCAAGAAACTAAAACTTAATAATGCATAGGATATTAAATTAGAGGCATTTTCTTAATCTGAAGGGTGAGCCTCGGTCTCCTTGGGAGCAAAATGCTTTTGAAGATACATGAATACAGTAGTCACCAGTAAAATCAAAACAGACAAACTAAGAATCATAACTAGTGGAAAGAAAGCTCCTCTTCTGGCAGATGGGGGGCCACTGTCAACATTACCTCCGTAGCCTCTGTGCAGGCAGTAGGGTGGGGACCATCCATAGCCACAGTGGCAGTGATGTTTATTGTTGCAGATCCCCTTCATGTTGCAGGTCTCAGGCAGGCAGATTTGTGACGGGTGAGAGAGACTGACACACTTCTTGTGTATGCAGATCTTCCCTGAACCACACATTGTGCCATCTTTCACTTCACCGACATCGGGTATGTCCATCCCTAAATGATAAGCGATACCCCAGCAGGTGACACCGTTGCGGTGAATATGCTGCAAAGCAGAGCGATCTCTCAGATGGGGAATAGCAACCACGTTTTCACACTGAACTCTCCCACAAAAGATGTCAGCGGTATTACATTTTAGGTATGTCGTGCCATTTATACCACAGTGGCCAAAACGGTTTCCCTGTGAGTTGATTTCTTGATAGCAATTCTGAGATGCACTCTTTGCCCCTTCCCCAAAGATCTCCCTGCTCATCTCATCATGGTTATTACATCTCTTTTGATAGCAGTAGGCCTCGTCACTACAGGGAACCCCATCCTGCACATATCCATCTTCCGGGCACTGATGTCCCGTTGCGTTGCACCACTCTGGAAGATCACATTCATTGACCTCATGTCTACAGAGTGCCCCTGATGGCATGAACTTGCAGTCTTTGCAACAAAGCCCAAAAGCACAAGCTGCCCCGGGCCTCAGAGTGCAGTTCGACAGACAACAGGGATCTTGTTCACACTGCTTTACAGATCCACAGTCGCACTCCTCTTCTCCTTCGACCACACCGTCCCCACAGCGCTTCAGCATAAGGACTTCCCCTAGACTTGGAGGAGTATGCAGACATGATCCCTGGTTTAAAGTGGTCTTTGCAAAATCCGCATAACTACAGTTGGTGAATCTCTCTGCTGGCACTCTGACAGCGTTCATGATGCAACCCCTTTGCCCACACAAACAGAATTCTTCATCATGCCACATACCCAAATTATGGCCTAACTCGTGGGCTACTGTGAGGGCAAAAAGGGACCAGGGGTCTCCTTGGAAATTATTAACTCCACAATCAATAGGAGGACGGCATATTCCTGCAACATAGGCTATACCAAGTGTACTTATAAGTGCATTTTTTATGAAAATATGTGGTGCATATTTCTGTATTCTTTGCTCTATCTTTCTGAACCTTCTTATTTTTTTTATATAAAATATAGTGTTTTAACCTGCGTTTAGTAGGAGTAATAGCGGTGTTTACCCTCTCTTTCTGTAACCAGAATTCCTAATAGTATTTGAAAAAGAAATAAATATTATTGGTTTTTAAAACAAGACAAATCAAGCCAAGTCTACTTTCGGAAGCTTTCAATCCTTTCCCCACCTTTAGAATTCCCAGGATACAATTCTATGTGGAGCAGATACTTAAGTCTTCCTTAGTTATGTATCTTCCTGAATTGAGTTTCTTTGCTCTCCTTACTGGTTCTACTTGGCTTGCCACTAAAACTTTTCCAGGATTGAGCTTTTGTAGTTTCCCACTCTCATTTTTTGGGGGAACGTTTTCTTCATTGCTAATCATCCCTGGTATAGGAGCATATTTCATCCACTGAGTTTAGCTGCAGGCAGGCCTCTTTTTAAAAAATCTACCCCTTTAAGAAAGAGGTATCTCTATTTCTGCTTGTATAAATAAAATAGTTTTTGAAAAGAAACCTCCAACCAGATTTATGAGGAAAACAGCATGCATAGAAGAACCTTTTTCTGAGAGGAAATACAAGGAGTCTGTCATTAAAAATGCTTCTAATTCAGAGTTATCTCACAGAGCTCTAAATCTACTAGTTAAATAAGGAGGTGGCAGGGCTCATTGGCCAAGAATCTCTTTAAAACAGAATCAATCCAGAGTTAGAGTTAATATTTTATTGAATTTGTTTTTATTCTATGCAATATTTATATAGTTGAAATATTAGGGATAAATATTTTGCCAAACACTATACCATAAACTCCCTACCAAGCGATTTTGAGCATATTTTTCTCAAAAACACTGAAGTTTAATAGGATATGTAATTTTAAAAAGTTGTATATAAAACAAAATAGCAAGGTTATAAATTGTACAATACAAAAATTTTTTGAATATGGTAATTATAAAGGGAATTACAGACTATCAATGTTGTCTTATTTAGAAAAAATTTGATGCTGGATATAGAATTTGATCTTTACCTGGAAAGTTATTATAATTCAGTCTAAGAGTGAAAAGTGATTAACAGTCTAGGCCAGTGCAATAGCATAAGCAAAATTATGAAAATGAATCTACACTGTAGGAGAACATAGAATAGAGCTAAGTAGGCTATCTAATTCCAATCATATTGAAGTCAGATATTAAGTTGTATAGAAATGGTGGAGCCAAAGCAAGATATCCTTTGAGAGCCACTTGTTTCTGGAGAAGTGAAAGATCCCTGTTGCTAAGCAGCTAAATCTAGAACTTAGTCACCTGAGAGACAAAAGGGGGTGGCCTTAAGTTTCCCTTTGTTATGCGAGGTCTCAACTACCAATCTTTCTTTATTGATAAGTGTAGTACAAACCATATCATTTGAAATGGCCATGGAAAATACTGTTTCTTCTGTTGGTAAGTCATTGATCAAGTTTGGCTCTATGTAACAGCTGGTACCCAGAATAGTATGTTGGATAATGTGAAGTTTCTTAATTTTTGTTTTGTTTTACTTTTTAAAACTGGGAGAGACTTGAGCATGGGTAGGGTAAAGTATTGTGGGTAGGATAGCTAACCGCTCCAGTTTACCTAACCACTCCAGTTTACCTAGGACTGAAAGGGTTGCTGGGATATGAGACTTGCACTTTAAAAACCAGGAGCTAGGACAGTCCTGGGCTGACCAGAATGAATTGCTTACTCTTACTGCCAAGTAAGAACAGGTAAAATAGGAGAAAATAGAGTTGAAAGTAGGAAAAATTGACAGGATCAGTCCTTGAATAGGTAGGAGATATGATCCTGGAACAGAAGATGGAAGGCTACCTACCACCTAAATCGAGGGGAGGATCACTTTTCCACTGAGACCGGGATGAGGAGTGGGGTAGAGAAGTAGAAATGGGCATGGATTCAGAAAGGTTTGTAATGGTGTAAATCCCAGAAACCATTTTGTCTTTGAATTTGCCATCGCAATATGTATGTATGTATGTATGTATGTATGTATGTATGTATGTATGTATATTTTTTTACTATGTTCCAGAGTAAGAAATTCATTTTATATTGTGCTCCAGTAGTCACACATATACAAACACTCCCAAAATTTTGGCACCAGATGTGTAAGAGTTGCTAAGGAATTGCTAGGAATATTTGATTTTTTATTCAATTTCCTTAAAGAAAAACTGTAGCTCATGACCCATTAAACTGATTTCATGACTCACTAATGAGTCAGCGTTAGTGACAGGTAGGAAAACAGTGCATTCGAGTATGATAAAATAAGAGGAGAGATGAGTATGTAGAGGTCTTGAGGAATTTGAAATAACTGGGGAAAAAAGGAAAAGTTGATAATACATGGAGGGATGTTGTCTACTTTGAGATTCCCATAATATTAGAGTATATGGATTTTTAACAACATCACTTTATGGTATTGATGGTAAAATAATATTCCTTTAGGAGTTTGGGTCTCTGGAATCCTAGGAATAATATAATGAGGGCAAAGGGTATGGCTCAAAGATTCTTTGAAGCATTTCCCTATTATTGCTTGCTCTCATGATGAGCTCTAAGAAAAATAATATGACGTGGTTTGTGTAGCTTATTAGCCCTTCCAACTTTCCATCTTCTCATCCACAGCTCCTACTTGATAATAAGCAACAAACATATCTAGAGAGATACAGAGAGTAAATCTGGAAGTTAGGATTTCACTCAAGGATAAAAAGATCTTTATCTTTGGAAGTTTTTATATAGTTGAATTTGTCTATAAACTTTGCTTTTCACTTGTAAGCTACTTGCACCTGGAATAAAGTGCCTATCCATTCACAATGGAATGTGCTCAGATGGATCCAAGCTATCTAGGCTGGTTAATGCTAAGGATATTGTTCAAACTGAAACATGTCCCCATCTAACAGCATCTACATAGCAAATCTAGGATAAATTATAAGCTTAAATGCTGTATGTCAAAAGGAAAAGATGAAGTCTACTTTGTTAAGTATTTGACTCTGTGATTGAAAGGCAATCCAAATGTCTCAACTCCAGACACTATACATAAATGAGGAACTCAGAATATCAGGGACGTGTAATATAATGTCACAGGAAAATGAATGAAGAAAAGAGCAATAAGACATGGGAGGATTTCCAGTTCCGATTGTGTATTCCCTTTTTAAGATTTTCACAAACACATTGCTTTGAGATTCCCGCCCCCCACTACCCAAGTGGTGTTTTTGATAGTTGTGATGTAAAATTGGAAAAAGTATGTGGCAGAATTAATCCAGTTTTGTTTATCTGTTTGTTTTGCAAATTAGTATTATAATTGAGCTTTAGGGAGTTAGGGTTTTGGCATAAAGTGGTTGAAGTGATGGAACTGGTTGCCTAAGCTCAAATGAAACGGAACTGAAGACAGAGGGAGGGATAAGATTGAGGAAAATGGGAGCTAATGGAATACAAAACTATTTGGGTTCTCTTTGAGTTTGAGGAATAGGTATAGGAGTAAAGAAAAGCTGGATTAAAATTATTGGTAAATTGCTTAGGATGTAAGAAATAATTTTGTTTTTGTTTTGTTTGTTTTGGTGATAACAAAGTATAGACTTTGACTGTGAGTAGGTAAACTGAAGTACATTGAAGATGAACTGGACAGGTTAAAAAAAAACATTGAAAAACCCTTCTGGATTTCAGATGAGTGATGAAGGTAGGATTTTTGGTGGAGAATAAGTCTTTCAGTCAGGTGTCAAAGTCTTTGAAGTTTATACAAGAATGATAGGCGGTGGTTAGTGGGAAGAGTGATAAAGAAAGGTTAAAAATTAGTGTAATCAAATGTAGCAAAATGAATGTTTTAGACATGACTTCATGAGCTGTGGAGAACAGGAACCCAGCCTCTGGACATGAGGTACATTGACTTTTGAGAATTGGGTTTTTCTATAATGAGCTTTATGAAAAGCAGTAAAATCTCTCGAAACTCAAGTTTCATAAGGTAAGTAGATATAGAGAACTCTGTGAAGGGGTCAGATATAGAGGAATTTGAATCAGAGTAAAGGAAGCATTGGCTAGGAATGGATTCAGAGTCAGGAGATTAATGGTAGTGGGTCAAACATTTTCATTTCATATCTCCTATGCAAGGCTTCTCATATTAAATGAAAACCCAAGTACCTATCATCCAACTTTAACAATTATCAACGTATGGCCAATACTGTCTTATTGATAACTCCCTAACTTCCTACCCTCATCTATTGAAAGCAAATAAAAAGCATTTTTGTAATCCATTAATCACTTTTTCTCTACTCAATTCTTTCTCTCACCTACCTTCCTTACCCAATTCCACCGCCTTCCTTGCCCTTATTTTTATTTTTAATTTCAGCACCGCAGCTCTGATGGCCAACTCTGCCAGAGCTAAGATCCTTAAAGGTCAGCACTACAGAATGAACAGCTCAGAGGGAGGAGCCAGACCAGCAGAGTCTCACACTCTTTTTCTCTGGACAGATGACTCCATAATGGCAGCTCCATAATGGTATCTGGTGAGACCGAGGTGTCCATAAAAGTTGTTATCCTGCTGCTCTGGCTTGGAGTGTCTCTGTCGCCCTCTGGCCAATCCCAGGCTAGGCCATACCAACACCTCAGCTCTCCGGAAGTGGTGATCCCCTTGAAGGTGCCCAGCAGTGGCAGAGATGCTAAAGCTCCAGGCTGGCTCTCCTACAGCATTAAGTTTGGAGGATGGAAACATGTGGTCCTCATGAGGGTCAAGAAGCTCTTGGTTTCCAGACACCTCCTGGTGTTTACCTACACGGACCAGCATGCCCTCAATGAGGATCAGCCTTTTGTTCCTGATGACTGCTTCTATGATGGTTATGTGGAGGGGGTACGGGAATCCCTGGTTGCTCTCAGTATCTGTTCTGGGGGCTTTCGAGGAATGCTACAGATAAATGACTTTGCTTATGAAATTGAACCCATAGGGCACTCTACCACATTTGAACACCTGGTTTATAAGATAAACAACAATGACACACAATTCCCACCTATTAGATGTGGCTTAACAAAGAAGGCAATAGCATACCAACAGATGGAATTTAAAGAGGCTAAGAAAAAAATTCTGAAACAAATTTCTACTGATAACCAAAGGATCCACTCATGGTTTCTGGAGCTGGTTGTGGTGGTAGATCAAAATTTCTTCATTTACTCCCAAAGTAACTTCTCAAAGGTGCAGGAAGATGTATTTCTTGTTGTTAACATAGTGGATTCCATCTATCAGCAGTTAGGTACTTATATGATTTTGACTGGGATTGAGATTTGGAATCATGGAAATGTTTTCCCAATGATAACCATAGAGCAGGTTCTGAAGGATTTTGCTCAGTGGAAACAAAT